GGATAGAGGAGCAATGTGGCAGATGTTGCAAGTACAGTGGACCCCCAGTTAACGATATTTTTTCATTCCAGAAGTATGTTCAGGTGCCAGTACTGACCGAATTTGTTCCCATAAGGAATATTGTGAAGTAGATTAGTCCATTTCAGACCCCCAAACATACACGTACAAACGCACTAACATAAATACACTTACATAATTGGTCGCATTCGGAGGTGATCGTTATGCGGGGGTCCACTGTATATGGAATAGGTGGTAAGTTACTAAATGCTGTAAAGAGCTTTTATGAGGATAGTGAGGCTCAGGTTAGGGTGTGTAGAAGAGAGGGAGAATACTTCCCAGTAAAAGTAGGTCTTAGACAGGGATGTGTAATGTCACCATGGTTGTTTAATATATTTATAGATGGGGTTGTAAAAGAAGTAAATGCTAGGGTGTTCGGGAGAGGGGTGGGATTAAATTATGAGGAATCAAATTCAAAATGGGAATTGACACAGTTACTTTTTGCTGATGATACTGTGCTTATGGGAGAGTCTAAAGAAAAATTACAAAGGCTAGTGGATGAGTTTGAGAATGTGTGTAAAGGTAGAAAGTTGAAAGTGAATATAGAAAAGAGTAAGGTGATGAGGGTATCAAATGATTTAGATAAAGAAAAATTGGATATCAAATTGGGGAGGAGGAGTATGGAAGAAGTGAATGTTTTCAGATACTTGGGAGTTGACGTGTCGGTGGATGGATTTATGAAGGATGAGGTTAACCCTTTCAGGGTCCAAGGCCCAAATCTGGAGTCACACACCAGTGTCCAAGATATTTAAAAAAAAAATTTTGTTATTTTTTCTTATGAAATCGTAGAGAATCTTTTTGTGAAGGTAATAAAACAAAAAGTACGAAAATTGGTGGAAAATTGACGAAATTATGCTCTCGCGAATTTTGATGTGTCAGCGATATTTACGAATCGGCGATTTTGCCGACTTTGACTCCCATTTTAGGCCAATTACATTATTCCAATCAACCAAATTCTTAGCTATTTCACTAATATTACTTCTATTCTATCGATTGAGCACAAGAAATCGCCAAGTCAACTGTTTCAACTACAAAATAAAGTGATCGGAAATTGTTAATTTGGCCAATTTAACACAAAGTTCAAAATATTCCAATTTCAAAATAGGGTCCAGAATGAACAATGTAGGCATTCCTGGCACTAAACTAACATTTCCTCTGTTCATTAGTTATGTTTTGAGGCTTTACAAATAAATTCCATTTTGATTTTTTATTCACATAATGAATTTTTATTCACACCAAAAAATAGAAGATTTACTGTTATGCAATACTGTAATAATTGTATAAATATCATCACCATATTTGTGAATGTATATTAGACCCACCAGCTGATGTGTATTAGACGTGTGAGGTCGTTTGTTTACTCTTGAATATCGGCAAAAATTTAACATTTCCGCTACTTTGAGCTCAGTTTCAAGCCATTTCCAATGCTAAAACCAATCAAAATCATCTCTCTTTCTGTAATATGTCTTCCATTCTATCAAATGAGTCCAAGAAATCGCAAATACAACTATAAAAAACATACGAAAAAACACTGCAAAGTTGCTGTTTTAATCGAAAAATCATGATTTCATTTTTTTTCTCTCATTATGCACAGTGTGCTGCAGGATCTGTTTTATGTGGTGCACACATACCACATAGGTGTATTCTCTCATATCTAGGCCCAAATGTACCACTCACAGTTTATCAGAGTGAGCTGAGCTCATGGCGTAGATCTACGGTTTGGACCCTGAACGTAAAGCCGTAGATCTACGGGACGGACCCTGAAAGGGTTAATCATAGAATTGATGAGGGAAACAAGGTGAGTGGTGCGTTGAGGTATATGTGGAGTCAAAAAACGTTATCTATGGAGGCAAAGAAGGGAATGTATGAAAGTATAGTAGTACCAACACTCTTATATGGATGTGAAGCTTGGGTGGTAAATGCAGCAGCGAGGAGACGGTTGGAGGCAGTGGACATGTCCTGTCTAAGGGCAATGTGTGGTGTAAATATTATGCAGAAAATTCGGAGTGTGGAAATTAGGAGAAGGTGTGGAGTTAATAAAAGCATTAGTCAGAGGGCAGAAGAGGGGTTGTTGAGGTGGTTTGGTCATTTAGAGAGAATGGATCAAAGTAGAATGACATGGAAAGCATATAAATCTATAGGGGAAGGAAGGAGGGTAGGGGTCGTCCTCGAAAGGGTTGGAAAGAGGGGGTAAAGGAGGTTTTGTGGGCGAGGGGCTTGGATTTCCAGCAAGCGTGCATGAGCGTGTTAGATAGGAGTGAATGGAGACGAATGATACTTGGGACCTGACGATCTGTTGGAGTGTGAGCAGGGTAATATTTAGTGAAGGGATTCAGGGAAACCGGTTATTTTCATATAGTCGGACTTGAGTCCTGGAAATGGGAAGTACAATGCCTGCACTTTAAAGGAGGGGTTTGGGATATTGGCAGTTTGGAGGAATATGTTGTGTATCTTTATACGTATATGCTTCTAAACTGTTGTATTCTGAGCACCTCTGCAAAAGCAGTGATCATGTGTGAGTGTGGTGAAAGTGTTGAATGATGATGAATGTATTTTCTTTTTGGGGATTTTCTTTCTTTTTTGGGTCACCCTGCCTCGGTGGGAGACGGCCAACTTGTTGAAAAAAAAAAAAATGGAGAAATAGCATTAAATGAGGATTGCACATATGAGGTTGATCAAGTAAGAAAACTAGTTCAAAGTTAATTATATGAGAAGTTAACAAATAAGTATTAACTTGTACCTTCTTGTCACACCAGGACAAAATACAGGTACCATCCGACTTACGGCCAAGCTTGGTTCTGACCGACCGGTCGTAACTCGAAATGGACACAAGTCGAACCTTACTACTGAATATCAACATCACATTTTTGTAATGACTTTATTTTATTGTTTTATTTTGGTATTTCATTTTTTACTTTACTTTTTATGCTGTTAGTACTGTATTTTATACTGCAAGGTTTAGGATAAACACTGTACAACATAAACAGTTGTTTATTTGCCAGAAATTTGGCATAAAAAACACAGTCGTAAGTCAAGTGGTCGTATGTCGAGCAGGTCGTAAGTCGGATGGAAGATGTACTGACATTGTGAGATACACTTATGTTACATCAGACATTTTTAAAATAGCCTTTACATACACGGATCAGGAAAAAGTTGCTCATAAAATATGCTGGACCAAAACCGGAATATGCAGTGTTGGTATGGTGTCAGCAGATAAAAAAAGTGGACACACTAGAAAAGTTAAAAAATGAGCTGCAAAATGGTTCCCAGATCTAGAAAACTACAAGACACCAAAAGACAAACATTCCACACTGGTTGATAATCACACATGAGAGTCAAAAGATATGAAAAAATTGTTATGGAAGATTTTTAATACTAAACTGGGAGAACAAGAGGTCATATTTATAAACAAAAGAGCAATCGAAAGCTTGCTAGAGAGTTCTTCATGGAGAGGTAGAACAATGGAATGGGTTCTAATAAGAGGAGGTAATAAGTACTATAACAACTGGAAATGTTAAAAAATATAAGATTCATTAAATACAGAAAATGAGACAAGAAACACAGCTGTACTCCTGTGGCTACAAATAAGTTAATACAAATATTATGAGGAATATACATGATATTGACACACGGCCATTGTTGTCACCGATGTGGCAGCACTTGGGGTAGTGGAGGGTGCCAGCTAAACTTGCTACAGTATAACCTTAAAAATATACATAAATGAAATATACACTGCTTCCTATGTTGTAACATAACTGCAATAAAAATAACTGATAATACAAGTGAGTACATTTGATTGGAAGATTAAAAAGCAGAAGACTGCTTCCACATTAACTGTTGCACTATATCATGCAGGGCTGTAGTAGAAAGCACATACACACAAGTATGACAACATGCTACATTAATGCACTACACATTTATATATGCAAGTGTCCCTCGCTTTATGCAATACCATACATCAATTCTAGGCCCATGCAAACCACTCTGCCAGCTTCTTCATAGTAAGATCCATTACACTGACAACCTCCTCCTCTTTTCCCTGATCAGCATAGAAGCAAATTTACATGACAGAATTAAAAACAGAAATGGGTGGTCATCGCATGAAAGCGAATTCACATACAGCAACCCGCATAAAGCGAGGGATTACTGTATTGTGATACTAAACACAATATGATACACACATTCACTCTCATACATGGTTAACAACCTACTAACTCAACGAGTAACAGTGCAAGAGAACAATGGCATTTCAGCTACCAGAAAAAAAGAATATCATTTAAGATTGGATACTAAAACATGGTTTACAGGATACTGCACTGACCAGCCAACATCAAAGAAACAAAGTTGCAGTACAGTAGTGGTTTCAGAAATAATAATTTTCAGTTGCTAGAATTTATTAAATAATTTCTAGACATGTTCGATGAAGGTACAATATACGTATAAAGATTTAAATTACTGAAACTATAAAATAAAGAAAACTTTATGCTGGGAAGACAGTCATGGCCAAAAACAGATATTTTAAATAGTACAACAAAGACAAGTAATTGTTAAAAGTTATCCCAGCTGACCTTTATCATCCATTTTCTGTATGCTACAAGAAAACTCTTAAAACTTCCCAGTGTTAAATAAAAAAGAAAATTACCACTGGCATAATGAATATCAAATGTAAAGTATATTAGGCAATTTTTTTTTTTTGCGAACAAGCACAATCTTTATTAAATACTGTAAGTGAGAAGAAATACAACCGAACATATTAGATCAAAAGCCATATTCATATGGGACCAGACTAGCCTAAAGCACAGACTTAACAAGAGGAAGACTGCACGCACACACATACAGAACTAAAAATGTAATCAATTGCTGCGTACAATAAACATGCAAAATAAAAGAGTGCCAAACCCCAGGAGCTGGGCAGCACTTGACACATTGGCTCAGTATCTTACGAGGGGCTGGTATGCAGTGTCAGTATGACCTAGGCGCACATCTACGCGCACATCAGGGGAGACGGCCAGATTGGCTATGCGGGAACACGCACACGGACAATCAAGGCACGACATGACCCACAGACCAACAGAAACTGACACTTTCTCAGACTGAGTGAATGAAGAGATGCTGATGTACACTCTAAACTGCTCCAAAGGCCCAGTCTCTGCAGGACGTACGTACACCTTTTATTTTAAAGCTTGCTCCAATGCCTGCCACAGGGAATAACAATGACAGGAATTTATTCATAGTTCCATCAGCTAAGATATAAATATAATGACTACCCTATAAGGTAATACATAACTTCGGTCAATCAATCAATAACAGGTGCAGCTAACAAGAGAAACGCTCAGCGTATATCAGTGAATCAGTTATGTGCCTGCACGAGAAAAAATTATAACAAAAGAACGAAGGCTGTATAAGCCACTAACCACAGGGAAGAATGTAGCAGGAGAGTAATAATTAAGTTATGTTAGTCTATATGCAAACAGAAACAGAAAAATATGAAATGGTTGCATTTAATTAAAACAGATACAGTGTACTGTATTTAACATCTGAGAATGCACTACAGAACACTAGGAAATCATTTTCTTCTCTCACTAAACCTTTCAAGTGTAATTAAAGCCAACTGATATTTACGATGTTTTCCACTACATGAATAAAGTTATTAAATCAAGTCCAACTATCACCCATTGTCTCATGTGGCCAAGGTGAAAAGTATCACTAACAGATGATGAAATATACATACAATAGGGCCCCACTTATGTGGCGGGTTAGGTTCCAGGCTGTCGCCGGAAAGCAGACATCGCCGGAAGGCAGAACGCCATTTTTTCCATTTATAAATGCATATAAATGCCAGACAACAAGTTTACACTAAATTATATTAAGTTAGTAATAGAACTAGGCATTAAAAACACACAAAGTAAAATACATTCACAGTACATTCATTACTTATCTTAATGTAGGGAGAGAGGTGAGTAGTACTTATTTGTAGGAAGTCAGGTGCAGGTAGCCCAGGTGTAGGTAGCCCTGGCTCCCCGTCTCATACTTAATACACGATATTTAAAACATCCCAGAGTTAAAATACACATACAATACACTCATTATTTACCTTAAAATATGTGTAGTCTTAATATAGGAAGAGAGGTGAGTAGTATTTATTTGTAGGAAGTCAGTGTAGGTAGCCGGTAGGTGTAGCCCACCTGGGCTACACCTACCTGCTACCTACACTGTGGCCCAGAGCCATATTATTAACATCGACATACCTTGTTCACTGAATTTAATCGTTTCTAACAACTACCTTTAGATGCCATCATAAACGAAGGGAGAAGTAATGAATAATTCATGCCAAAAATTGTAAACAAAAGCGGAGTGGGGGGAGTGGCTGGGCCCAATGCAGATTCATACACGTTTTCTCTGATGACTGAACAGAGAAAACGTAATGTTGTCCCTCCACCCGGCTACCACACAGCTCCACAAGTATTATTATCAGAGCACATATAAAATATGCAATAAATGCCAGACAAGTTTACACTAACTTATATTAAGTTAGTAATAGAAATAGGCATTAAAAGCACAATAAAAGGTAAGATACAAACAGAGTACACTTAGTAGTTACCTTAAAATATTAATATTAATGTGTGAGAAGTAAGTGGCAGGGTGTTTATTGAATAAAATCAGAATGGCACACCATCATCCTCTAACTTGGCAATTAAAGCCAGAGGCTTACAACTCCTCTTTTTATCACAGCTAAGCTTAGATGCCATCGTCAATGAGAGTCAACTAGTTAACGAAAGAGTAAACGAGAGAGAGAACGAGATACAGAGTTGAGACAATGTAAGAACACAAACTGAACAGGTAGTGGGCGATCACTTGGTCAGGCAAAATAAATGCATATTAATATGTGTCTACTTTTAGTTCATTCACGTCCATTTGTAAGAGTTTCTAAAACATTTACCTCAATATTTTTTTTATTATAATAATAATTACCTCACAATACAAATACTCTTACATTGTGTACAAGTTGTACAAGTTAGTACAGAATAAACAAACAACACACCATTTTTAGAGCGAATGAAGATATTAATATTATTATTATTATTATTATTATTATTATTATTATCATAATAAAAAGCACTAACCCCACAACGGTCGTGAATTGCTGTATATAGAGTGAAGGCATACGAAAAGAATATTTTTTCTACAGTTATCCCCCAGTTTGACTAGAGAAAACATAATTCTTCCGACACTACTTACACAGCTGCTTTGTAAACAAATCTCATATTTACGTCAATTTTTATTCTGAGTGTATCATGTTTATATGCTATGTAATGGGTTTCATATATAATTTTGAGGAAAATATCATAGATGGATTAATGAAAATGCCTATATTAATGTAAAATAAGACATTTAGTGTGCCCAAGAGTGATTATTATTACGTAGTATTGGCGTCATAAGTAGAGAGACTCTTAGCGATTTTAATGTGTACCTGCACACCAGCACAGTGTGTAAGTATATTTAGGTACAGGTACACATAAGTACAATTATCAGAGTACACATAAAATACGCAGTAACTTTAAAACACTTGAAATTTTGGAAAGTTTCCTGACATAATAGACGTGGTCACGGAGAATGTAAACAAACCGGGTGGGGCACGCCATATTTGAAAGACCGCTTGCCGTATACCAATTTTTGGTCATAATTTGACATCGCCATATTAGCGGAATGCCGTAAGACTAAACGCCATAAAGCGGGGCCCTACTGTATACTAAAACTACAAAAAAGAAGAGTACTGCTGCTTCCAACTGGCAATATTGTTCTTAGGATTTAAGGATGACAACAGCCCCATAGCCTTGTAAAGCTGGTAGTTATTAGGTTTAATAGTCCTGATGCCCCAAGGGTCACATAAACCTAGTACCGGCATACTGCAATATACATCGCAACTATCCTGATACCCCTGTGTACTGAAGTGAAAGCAACTTTCCTAAGCTCAGTCTTGTCTTCATGATCCCTGTTGCCCACTGATCAACGTGATATTTGTGGTGAAACCCAGCTCAGGGTAGGCTGGGTGCCTGTTTTCTTTAGATTTGGAACAAGACTTAAATTTAAAATCAACCATATGATGTCAATCAGAATGTGAGCACTGGATTTACCACACCCAAACTAGTTTTATTTCTTATCTTTCATTCTTAGAATGTCGAGATCAACCAGATTATAGCAATATTTAAGGTACACAAATAATTTGCAAGTAGGAGACAAACTTATGATGACTCTTCACTCCAACTTGGACTATTAACTAATCACATAGAAACACTATGGGAAGGGAGCCAGAATATGAGAAGGGGACAGGGACAGGAGCAGTGTAACAAGAGGAGGGTATATTAAGGTGGTAGAAGTGGTAGTGGTGGGAGTAGTGGTAGTAGTAGAAGTAGAAAAAGTAGTGCAACAGTAGTAGAGGTGGCAATAAATAGCAGAGAGATAGTAGTAGTAGCTGTAGTTGTAGAAGCAATAGTAGAGGAAATCTAAGAGCAAGGAGCACTGCAGGAGAGCTAATGGCCCACAAGGGCAAGAACAATTACCAGCAGGACAAGGCCCCATAGGAGAGAACCCACCTAGGCAGAAGACAGGAAAGACAAAGTACATATAGAAAAGGTGAAGAGATAAGAAGAGGAGGAGATTAGGATCAGGTCAAGTCATGAGTGTTTCTAAAGTGTAGAGCACTTGATAATGTAGTAAGAAAGGAAGGAATCTACAGTGATAGTATGAATGAGTTTTTAACACACTGGCTGTCTCTCACCAAGGCAAGGTGACCTGACAAAGAAACACTTTCTCCAGCATTCACACTTTCACTGTCTTGCCAGAGGCACACAGATATGACACTTTAGATGTCCCTCTAAACAGTAAATATCCCAAACCCCCTTTAAAGTGCAGGCACTGTACTTCCCACCTCCAGGACTCAAGTCTAGCTAATTGGTTTCCCTGAATCCCTTCACAAAATAATACCCTCTTCACACTCCCCAACAGTTCATCGTCTCAAAAACCATTCGTTTCCACTCAATACTATCTAACCTCTGTGTTAACTTAACCCTTTGAGTATCAAGATCCCTGCTTGCAAACTTGTTCATAGGGTCAAAGAATTAAAAAAAAAAAAATCTCAGTAAATGACAAAGAATCTTTTTCCAAAGGTAATGAAATCAAAAGTTTGAAACTTGATGGAAAACTTGCAAAAATTATGCTCTCACAAAGTTGGTCTGGGCAATATTTACGTACTGGCGATTTTGCCCACTTTGAACCCTATTCTGGACCAATTCCTTTCTTCCACTTAACCAAACTCATAGCTATTTCACTATAACTCCTGTTATTCTATTGAGCGAGTACAAGAAACTGTCCATTTACCTATTTCAACTACCCAAAAAAGTGATCAGAAATTACTAATTTGGCCAATTTCACACAAAATTCAAGGAAGGTCAATTTCAAAATAAGGGCCAGAATATACAATGTAGACATTGCTGGCACTAAAGTAACATCTTCTCAGTTCATTAGTCATCTCTCCAGGACCCTCTTATATTACACTTGCTTTTCATTTTGAATTTTTATTCACACAAAAAATACAAGATTTACTGTTACTCAGACTATTGCATAATTGTAATAATTGTATAAATAATATCAGAACATTTGTGAATGCATATTAGACCCACCAGTTGATGTGTATTGGATGTATGACATGATTTGTTTACTCTTGAACATCAAAAATCAAAAACTTCTGCTACCAAGAGCTCAATTTCAAGGTGTACTTTTAGTCTGTAAACCATTCAAAATCATCTCTATTTCTGTAATATATCTTTCATTCTATCAAATGAGACCAAGAAAATGAGAAAAACAACCATAAATACCATACAAAAGTACACTGCACAGTTGCGGTTTTAAACCAAAAATACAGTCGCAGTTATTCTCATTATGCACTGCATGCTGCAAGATTTTTTTTATATACTGTGGACAGTGATCGCCAAGACCCATTCTCTCATATGTTGGCCTACCAGCTTTCTCCTCCAAGTTTAGAAGCCACTAGAATTTTGGCATAGTATTATTTAACTGACACTAGCTTCAAAGCTGTAATAGTATGGGACTGATACTGAAAGGGTTAAGACTCGCCCAAAATGCAGAGACGAATTGCTCTCTGTAATGATACAGTTTCATCAAATTCACATCTATG